GAGATGTGGGAAGCAGTTGATGCAAAAGATGCTTGGGAAATCAAGGGTAACGACCTCGCAGATTCGGAAGCTGTTCAGGCCAGAATCCAAGTTCAAAAAACCCTTGGCCCCTCTTGGCAGGAAACTGCTGAACAAACGGCTCTAAAAAGGGCCAAGCTCTGCAGCTCACTGCTATCCGACATCACACTACTGGTTAAAGCAAGCAGGACAAACCGACCTTGTCCAGAAGAGGAAGGACAAGTGGCAAGCCCGGAACCACAATTACGTGTGGCTCCATCAACAAGTCCCTGGCCTATGCTTGTCCCCGACAATTTCGTTGTTCCAAACTGGGATCAGAAATGGACTGCCCTGTTTATCCACTATTTCTCCTTGTTAAAATGACCTGACCCTACACCTGATGCTCCGCCCCCTTCCCCGGTATCCTTCATTGAACTCATGCTCGACCTTTGTATCTCCTTCCAGGTAAGAATCCCCATCAACCTGGGTGTGTTCCTAAATCACAAATTCACTGATATGCCGAAGGTCAAGACGAAATCACCGGCCACATACTTTCTTCCCAAACGAAGTGACGCGGCCAAACTACCTCCAGAGACGCTCACGCAGTCTGTGGCCACTTTCATAAAATGTTATGATTTAATCCACTCACAGATCCCCTTGACACCGACGGCCAAAGGACTGGCCCGAGCATTAGCGTCTTACGGCTTCACAAACGTTGTACCATCTCTCCAAACCACGCCAGTCCTCCTCTCAGGACTCCGAGTCAGAAGATTCCTTGAAGGGCTCATTGTCCCCAGAGTTCGCATCCTTAAGTACAATTCTCGAATCCCTCCTCATCCGTCGTTGCCTCTTCCCCCGGGCTTTCCGCCTGACTTCTGAATCTTTAATTTGTAGCATGTCTCACGCTCGACGCCGGGGACTTGCTGTGCACACGTCGCGCTTTAACCTTTTTGGGGTAATAGAATCCCCTTAAATCAAACAGGGTAACCTTTAGTTCCCCCAGGTTACTGGACAACTAAGGGTTAAGCCCTAAACCCTAAACCCTAAACCCTGAACCCTGAACCCTGAACCCTGAACCCTAAACCCTAAACCCTAAACCCTAAAGCCTAAAGCCTAAAGCCTAAACCCCTGTATCCCCAACCCAGGCAGAAGAAGAAAGCCAACCAAACGAAGGGCAAGCTCCGAATAATCAAAGCAGAGAAGCTGATCAAGGATGCTCGCATGAGGACTGGTCGGGGGTTTCGGGTTTAGGGTTCAGGGTTTAGGGTTTGGGGTTTAGGGTTTGGGTTTAGGGTTTAGGGTTTAGGGTTTAGGGTTTAGGGTTTCGGGTTTAGGGTTTAGGGTTTAGGGTTTAAGGTTCCCTAAACCCTAAATCCGAAGCCGGGTCTAAGCGCTGAACCCCAAACCTCCCTGACAAGGGCCCGACGCCTGCATTTCCAGCGCCCTTGCTTTTCCTCGTGTTGGGAGCAGCTCAATCCCACATCCTGTTTTGTTTTTTGTGTTTAGCGTACAAACCTAAGCCCCAGAATCCCGCAAAACCTTGGCCCTACAAAAGAACTACTTGGAGGTTCACGGGCATTCGCGGGTAGTTATCAGTAGGGCCATTAGTGAGGTAACCTATCTTATAAGTTTAAGCAACTTATGACCCTACTTATGTGTACTCATGAACCTCCCAAACCATAAATCGTAAACCCTAAACCCTAAACTCTAAACCAAGCCCTAGCCCCCTAGCCTCTAAACCCTAAACCCTAAACCCTAAACCCTAAACCCTAAACCCGAAACCCTAAATCCCTCAAGCCCTAAAGCCCTAAACCCTAAACCCAACATGGGATGCATTATCGGCATTGCTGCTTCCTGACTGCAATAGCTCTCTGGCTCCAGGATTGGACCATCCAAAACTCCTTATCTGGTTTCGGGTTTAGGGTTTAGGGCTAGGGTTTAAGGTGCAGGGTTCAGGGTTTAGGTTTCAGGGTTTAGGGCTCGGGGTTTTGGGTTTAGGTCTAAAGTTCATGGTTTAGGGTTTAGGGTTTAGGGCTCAGGTTTTGGGTCTTTAGGGTCTTGAGGGTTATCTAAACCCTACACCCTAAACCCGAAAGTCCCGAACTCGAAAGCCTCAACGCAGCGGCTTCTGCCGGCGGGCCAGGCTGGGCTTGGTTTAGGGTTAGGGTCTAGGGTTTAGGGTTTAGGGTTTCTTCGGTTTGGGGTCTATTGGGGTTGAGGGTTTCTATTTTGGGCTTTCGGGTTTATTGGGTTTAGGAAGTTTTTGCGGGTTTGAGGCGTTTTGGCGTTTAGGAGGCTTGGGGCTTCGGAGTGGGGGGTGGGGAGGGTGCTTTAGGGGAGTCTTCGATGCTGGGGAAGCATTGCGGGTTGCAGGGGTGCAGAGAAACATGGGGGTTTGCGCACCCCAAGCCCGAAAGCCCGAAAGCCCGAAAGCCCGAAAGCCCGAAAGCCCGAAAGCACGAAAGCACGAAAGCACGAAAGCACGAAAGCACGAAAGCACGAAAGCACGAAAGCACGAAAGCACGAAAGCACGAAAGCCCGAAACCCTAAACCCTAAACCCTAAACCCTAAACCCTAAACCCTTGCAAGTGAAACCACTTGTGCTGCTCCAAACTGACACGCAGATGTCGCAGCTACGCAGCACCAAGGGGATTGAGTGCCAAAAAGGAGTTAGCTTTCGTGCCGCTACGCCGCACCATTACCGAGCTCCCCGGCGTCCCCGCCCACAGCTTGAGCACCAGCTACTACGATCTTCAGTCCTCCCACTAGGTGACTTTCACGGTAGCGGAGCCTGATCCTGCGGAGGCAGGACGGGCTTGTCCAGGGCAAAGAGGCCGCCGTCGCCAGGCCACGGCGGATCAGAATGTCAACCAATGCGGGAGGCAATCAGCGGAGTGCAGATGGAGTCCCTCGGTGGGACGGAGAGCCCGGCAACTTCCAGGACTTTGAGGAGCGCTGCTTGATGTATGAACAGTCGGTGGAGTACCACAAGCGCTACATGGTGGCACCCCGCATCATCGCGGAGCTCCAAGGGACCGCGCGGAAGGTGATTGCCGGGAAGCCAGCAAACTGGGTGAGCTACGTCGGCGGCGTCCAGGAACTGCTGAATGCGTTGAGACAGAGCATGGGAAAACCGCAGGTGTCCGAGGTGGCCGACTTCCTCAATCGCTACTTTCGTGGCAGCCGCCGGAAGACGGGCGAGACCATGGGAGACTACATCGTGAGGAAGACCGAGACATACTACCGGGCACAACAAGCTCTTCGACGAGTACAACGAGGACGGAAACCGACGCACAGCGGAAGCATGACCTGGACACGCGAGGAGCCATCCACCTGGAGTCGCAGGACGAGCTGGGGCGCAGACACGGATGAATCGACGGCTGCAGAGACGGCGGCCCAGGCCGAAGGGGAACGACAAGAAGAACCCGATGTCGTCACGGAAGCAGAGCCGGACCCATGGCGAGCGTGGACCAACTCCTCCTGGGGTCGAAACTACTGGAGTGGTAGTTGGTGGAATGCGACATGGACACGATCGGAGCCATGGGGGTCAAGGACAACAACCACAGAGGACGACGTGGAGATCCTGCCGGACTTCGTCCAGGGCTGGTTCCTCCTCAACGATGCCGGACTTTCGCCCACAGAAAGGAACCTGGTGCACACAGCGGTCCAAGGAGACTACAGTGTGACCAAGATCGCTCAAGAACTGAGGAATCAGTGGGATGAAGGCAGTCTCAGGAGACGAGACGGCAACCACCGAGCCCAAGGAGGCTTCCTGGGCGACGAGATCGAAGACGGCGACCTCCCCGAAGAAGAGCTCGAGGGCATCTACGGGATGGAGGACCTCACCGTGGAGGAACAGATCTTGATGAACGAGGCCGAAGATGAAGTTCAACAAGCGATGGCCGCGATCGAGAAGGGAAAAAGGACGCTCCGAGAAGCTCGTACCCGACAGCATCAAGTCCGAATGTCAAGACAGTACTACAAGACGAGTGGCAGCAGTGGAGGAGCAAGGGCTGCGAACCCCGGGGCCTCCAGTCCATGGAGGAACAACAAGGACCACAAGAAGACCACCCCGGGGCCTCCTGATGACAGCCGGATGACGTGCTTGAAATGTGGACAAGTCGGACACAGAGCAGCCAATTGTCCAAAGCGTACACAACAAGCACAGTTGGCCGAGCAGGAGGAATCGGAGAGTGCCCCTTTCATCTGCTACCAGGAGGCAGCCTTGTCCGCCATGGAACAGGAGGGCCAGATGACCACCCAACAGGCGATCAAGAAGGGCTACTGCGTTCTGGACGGCGGGGCTACCAAGACGCTGGGCAGCATCAAGGCGTTGCAGGCAGTGATGGACATCAACCAGACTCGATATGGCAGCCCGCGTCTTCTCGAAGTGGATACGGCGACGAGGCCGATGTTCTCTTTCGGGAATTCCTCGGAGAATAGGTGTGCGAGCACCGTGGAGCTTGGCATTCGCGCAGGCGACCAGGAGGGCCGGTTGAAGGTACACGCCTTGGACCAAGGCGAGGGGCCAATCCTGCTCTCGGTGTCCTCGCTTCGGGCGATGGGCGCATTGGTGGACTTTGCGAATGACCTGGTGGTCTTCCGCCATCTCGACGCGCAGAAGGTCATCCCGGTGAGGCGCTCGCAGACTGGCCACCAGCTGCTACCACTTGTAGAAGACCTTTTTGATGGAGCCTTGAAAACCAAGGAGCCCGTGCCAGATTTGAAGGCCTTCGTAGCCGAGGCCTAGGGACAACTCCTTCTGGGACCTGAGCCTGAGAGGTTTCGGAAGGGGCGAGGAAATGTGCAGTCAGGCCTAGGGTTTTTGACTGGTGACCAGTCCGTAGGAACTCCTCTTCTTGATTCTAGTAGGAATAATGGTGATGCTAGGTGTTGTAGAGTGGAAAATCAGTACCTGAGAGAGAACTGCCGAGTACCTTCACACCATCCTAGTGGCCGTGAAGTTCGAGTGTATCCCCCTTCGCATCCCGACGAGCACCAACATGTCGCTGTACTCCCTCAAGAAGCAGCAGCTGGTGAACATGCTTGTCGAGCTGGGAGAGAAGCCGCCACAGAGATGGAACATGACCGAACTACGTCAAAGGATCCTCGAGCTGAAGCCAGAGATGGGAGAAACACAACGAACTCGGAAGGTGGTGGAGATTCCCGCCGCGGAGCGGACATTGAAGCAGTGGGTGCAGGTGATCAACCAGGCCTCACAGCGAAAGAGCGAACTTCGACGCCTGTGCGAGAACGACATGCACCTCATGGTGACGGGCAACGAGACCAGCGGCAAGTTGGAGAACATGGCTGTGGTGTGGGCCCGGAACAATGTGAAACCCGAAGCCGAGGACGATGTGGGCTTCGGGAAGCATGCCGATCTCCAGTACAGCGACATCAACGAGAGGTTCCCAAGCTACAGAGAATGGGTTCTCAAGATGGACACGGAAGAGGCCGAGGTGGACCCCCGACTTCGCAGGCTGGCCAAGTGGCTGCGCCAGAATCCAGTGGGGACCGCGACTCGGGCCAGTGGCTCGACGGAACCAGGAACCTCACCGGGACGTGGATACGTCTCAACGAGAGCCCGCAAAGTGGATGGACCCGAAGAAGAACCACCACATCAGTTGTCGCAGGCGAAGGCGATTCAGGACCTCTCCCACATGGTCCAGAACCTGCAGCAGGAGATCTCCGAACTGCGGGGCGAACGTCCTCGGAAGAAGGAGGCGAGTCGAGGAACGAAGTTCGAGGGGTCAGAGGCCACAGAGACGGAAGGCAGCTTCAAGATGGTGCACAGCCCATGATGATGGAGCCGCCGACGGGAAGCGCTGCTGTCGACGGCGTGATGAGGGAACTGAGTGCTAATCAGGCTAGCCGCATCGAACATTTGAGCCACGGAGTGGTTCCTGAGATTTTCCAGAGTGTAGTTGGTAGAGGTAGACCTGTCCTAATGGAAATCGCTTGTGAACCGGATAGCATACTAGAGCAGGCTGTGCGAAACCACGTCGGAGACGAGGGTGCGACTAGCAGACTTTCTGTGTGGAATGGTGCTGATCTGAGCACCAAAGAGGGCATTCGGTTCGCTCTGACACGTGTTTCACAGGAGCGTCCCCGAACTGTATGGTTTGCCACACCTTGTGGACCGTTTTCTCCCCTTCAAAGAACCAATGCACGCACAGCTGAGCAGGAAACAGAACTCCAAAAGAAGCGACAACATGCACAGCGCATATACGTAGGTGCCAGCATTGTCCTTCGCCACGCCTTGCAGTTAGGGTGTCATGTTGTCTGGGAGTGGTCAGAGAAATGTGATGCTTGGAGGATTCCATGGGTTCAGAAGATGATACGGGACCTGGGGCTGTACACAGCCGTCACACATGGATGCACGGTGGGGCTTAGGAGCACACAAGACGGCCAACTCATGAAAAAGGGGTGGAAACTGGCCACTTCACACGTGCGACTGGCCACGTACATGCAAGGGCTGTGTGGGTGTGATGCGGGATATCGTCACGGGCGTTGTGAGGGGAAGGATGCTGCTGTGAGTGCACGCTACACGACTGAATACGCCCAACGCGCCACGAGGGTGTTGTGTCAGGAGTTGAATCATGCACAAGTGATTGAAGAGTGCCAGGGTCACACCTCACTGCCTGTGTTGTTTGGATTAGGGTCAGCGTGCAGTTGCGAAGAACCACACCTTGCAAGTAGACAACAGACATGTGGACATTGTGTTCAAAGTGCTTCGCTGTGGAGTGAGAGAGAGAGAGAGAGGGAGAGAGTGGTGCCGAGGGAGAAGAAGAAGAAGAGGAGGAGGAAGCGCATTGGAGCCAGGAGGCTTTGAGACAGGCGGAGGAGATGGCCAGCCAACTAAGTAGACAAGGCGATTTCAGCTTTGAGGCTGCTGAACAACTGGCGGTTCTGATGCCAGAGGGAAGCCAGCCGGGCAGGAGAGGTTCGGTGAAGATGAAAAAGGCGGGGTATTTTGTGTTCGGGGGGTATGCCAGGGGCGGCCACCAGGGGGTCACCAGGAGGACCACGGAATTCCCGAAATGCACCCAGTACTGGAATAAGTTCTTACGCCGTCATGTCGGGCCCTCAGAACACTGGACCTCGATTGCAATAAGTATAAACAACCACATGAAGATCCACAGGGACGTGAACAACATGGCTGGGTACAAAAACCTCCTGTTAGGTTTCGGGAACTACACGGGAGGAGGCCTGTGGGTGGCGGGACAACAGGGTGAAGCGATACGGATCACGGGAAATGGGGAAAAGACTAAGGGGTGTGTTCTGGAAACTAAGAGGCGAGTGGTTAAGTTTTCTCCAAAGGACTGGCATGGGACGGAACCATGGACGGGAACCCGTATTGTGCTTGCCGCGTATGTCAGTAGAGCCACACACATGTACAACGCTGAAGAGAGAGAAGTGTTGGTTCGTCTTGGCTTCCGGCCACCGCCACGGCCCACCAACATGGCGTGCGTCTCACAAACACCAAAAAGGGATGATACCACAGGAAGGGAAGAGGAGCACATCAAGCGACAGCTCTACAAACTACACGCCGCCACAGGGCATGGCTCAACTAAACACTTGGTCTCTGCTCTGAAACGCCGTGGCGCCAAGCCCGAGGTCATACGCATGGCTGAACAGTTCAGATGTTCCATTTGTGAAGAGAGACAGAAGTTGCAGCCCAGACATGTTGCTTCTCTGGAACCCCTTCCCCCTAAATTTCACACTGTGTCGGCGGATGTGGGACATTGGTTCCACGCTGGGAAGGGGGAACATGTGCAGTTCATGTGTGTCATCGATGAGGGGTCTCGTTTCCGAGTTGCTAAGATCTTGTCTAGGGGAAAGAAACAACAGCCCACGGGTGCCGCCTGCGTGCAGTATCTAGATGAGGGCTGGAGCCAAATCTTTGGACAGCCCAGAACTCTCCGGCTGGACCCAGCTGGGAATTTCCGCAGCAAGGCTGTAGAGCTACATTGCGAAAGAAATGGGGTGTTCTTGGACCTAGTGCCTGGGGAGGCACACTGGAAAATCGGCGTATGCGAACAAGCTGTCCAAGGCCTGAAGGAAGTGATGGATAAACTAGTAGCAGATGATGAGTCCATCGAACCTGAGGAGGCTCTATCCACCGCCGTCCGCACGTTCAATCAGAGGGATCTGGTTAGAGGGTTCTCCCCCACACAGCATGTGTTAGGACAGGCGCCTGATGAATCGGGGCGCATCGATGTGTCGACACCGGCGGTGCCGCCGGAATTGCTGGTGGAAAACCCAAGTGGCGAGTTCCAACGAGCAGTGCGGCAGAGACAGGAAGCAGAGAAGGCGTTGGCGGAATGGATAGCACAGCGACGATTGGTCAAGGCGGCGAACTCCCGTAGCCGCAAAAATCTGCAGTATCAGCCGGGGGACCTGGTCTACTACTGGAGAGTCCAAGAAGCCAAGAACAAGAAACTGCCTGGTGCGAAACGAGGACGGTTTGTTGGCCCCGCAAGAGTACTGGCAGTGGAACGACGACCTTGTGGCCCAGCAGAGACCACACAAAGCTCAATCGTGTGGCTAGTGCGAGGACGCCTTCTTGTGAAGGCGTGTGTGGAACAACTTCGACCAGCTTCAGAACGAGAGGAGCTACTGGAGGCCGTGTCGGAGGCGAAGCCAACCCCCTGGACGTTCACCAAGATGGCAGAGCAGTTAGGCGGGAACCAGTACGAGGACGTCAGTGGCATGCAACCAGAAGAGACCGAGTGGCGAAGAGCACAAGATGTGGATGAAGAGATGCCTCCCGTACGGCAACACGACCGTCATGGAGGTGAAGGCGACCAACGAAGGAGACTCCCTAAGCGAGAACATCCGCGTGAAGATTCCGAGGATGAGGAACTCATCCCCGACGAACATCAGCGATCACCGAACACGACCTCGCGGCGAAGGACACAGAAAGGACCACCCGAGATCATGTTCCAGGAGAAAGGAGCACGATGGCAAGACCACATCTCCGAGACGGCCTGGTACATCGGAGAGCAGGCTTACTGGCAAGATCAACAAGCGGGCGTGGAGATTGAGGTGGACATGCCGGACAATGCCAGAGGTTGGAAGCAGGCGGTCAACAATATGGAGGCGTACATGGTGAACAACCTCAAACGACGAGCCATTGAGGTCTCGGAGAAGCACATGACACCACAAGAAAGGCAGGCCTTTGCGGGAGCAAAGGCGGTGGAGGTCAAGAACTTCATCGCGGCCCAGGCCTTCGAAGCGTTGCCAGATCATCTCAAGCCAAGCCGACAACAAGCGATTGGGATGAGGTGGTGTTTAACATGGAAGTTGAAGGAGGATGGAACCTCCAAGGCCAAGGCACGGGCTGTGTTGTTAGGATATCAGGATCCGTCCTACGAACACAGACCAACCACCGCCCCTGTCATGACAAGACAATCGCGGCAAATGATCATACAACAAGCCTCGAATCGTTCCTGGACCCTTTATAAAGGGGACGTCTCGGGGGCATTTTTACAAGGCAAGGAGTATGAGGAGTTGCTGCATTGTGTCCCTTGCGATGAAATTTGCGATGCTATGGGGGTTCCTCGCGGAAGCATCACACGCTTGCGCAAAGCCTGCTATGGGCTTGTAGACGCCCCGTTGCAGTGGTTTCGCTCAGTAGCCGATTTCTTCGCTTCCCTCGGACTCACTCAAACGTGGAGTGACGCGTGTACGTGGGTGTGGAGGGTTGAAGGACATCTCAGAGGCATGATATCAAGTCATGTTGATGATTTTATATTTGGAGGTCGTGATGATGATGCCGGTTGGCAAGAGATACTCCAGAAGATACAGGCGAAGTTCAGATGGGGAGACTGGGAGCGCAATGACTTCGTGCAATGTGGTGTCCGAATCCGTAAACAGGGGCCCAACTTTGTGTTATCCCAGGAGCAGTACATCGACAACCTGAAGGAGATCCCTCTGAGTGCAACCCGGAAGCGTGAGAGAAAGGAGGCCACGACGGAACGGGAGAAGACCAGTCTGAGGGCCTTATTGGGAGGCGTCAGCTGGTTGGCACAGCAGACGGCGCCACACGCCTCAGCAGAGGTAGGGTTACTCCTATCAGAGGTCGGAAAGAGCACAGTGGAGACCATCGTCAAGGCGAACATCCTCCTGTCGCACGTCCGAGCGAAGAGGGACCATCAGATGATCATACATGCTTTCGAACCGGGGCAGGACCTCACCATGTATGGCTGGGTAGACGCAGGAAGCCAGAATCGAGTGGACGGCGGGAGCACCCAGGGAATCTTCATTGGTCTCGGGCCAACTCAGATGCAGGAGGGAGCCTTGGGGGCAGTGAGCCCGATGGCGTGGCATTCGTCGCGCATTGACAGAACCTGTCGCTCGCCAGGCACAGCTGAAGCACAAGCGGCTGTTAACGGCGAGGATGCCCTCTTCTTTGCCAGGTACCAGTGGAGCGAACTGGAGTACGGCAACGTGGACCCTCGTGACGCCGTGAGCAGCGTGAACAAGATCACAGGATGCTTGGTCACGGACTCCAGAAACGTCTTTGACAAATTAAAGACGGAAGTGATCGTCATCAAGGGCGCGGAGAAGCGAACCTCGATCGAGCTGTTGGGACTAAAGGAATCACAGCTGTCCACGGGACTCCGAGTCAGGTGGGTGCATTCCGAGGCACAATTGGCGAATGGATTGACGAAAATGGGGAGATCGTCCGAACTGGAGCTCTACTACCAAATGGGGCATTTTTGGAAGATCGTCGAGGACCCTTACATGAGATCCGCTCGTCGCAGAAAGGCCGAAGGGATGCAACCTCTCGAGGGTACTGAATTACGGGTTAAGGATAAAAATCAAGAAGAGGAGGGGGGAGGAGCTGATGCAAGTGAAACCACTTGTGCTGCTCCAAACTGACACGCAGATGTCGCAGCTACGCAGCACCAAGGGGATTGAGTGCCAAAAAGGAGTTAGCTTTCGTGCCGCTACGCCGCACCATTACCGAGCTCCCCGGCGTCCCCGCCCACAGCTTGAGCACCAGCTACTACGATCTTCAGTCCTCCCACTAG